GATAATTCCCTGGTACCAGCGGCTAAAGAAGAAGGAGGTTTATCGATCACGCATTTACTTTATAACAGCATTCATAACATCTTTGCAGTAGTATCTGTTGATCATAACATAATCATCCATTCGTTAGAGTTGTTCGAATGCAAAAAGCAGGTTAGTACATTTTGTGTATAATTATATGAAATAATTTGTACATAGATACTAATTCAATCTATATATAAGTTGGTGGGCTATAGCGATGAAATTCTAGACATCGTATATCTTGGAAATAGCGATAGTCATATTGCACTTGCAACCAATAGTTCTGACATAAAACTTTATGAGATCGTCTCTATGAATTGTCAATTAGTGTGTGGTCACACTGACAGTGTTTTGGCTCTCGCTACGACTCCAGCAAATGTAAATCTACTTGTATCTTCATCCAAGGTATATATATTTTTTTGTTGTAATTTTTATAATAATGTATAATAATAATTAATATAACATGTTTTGTAAAATTACTATTTATAGGACAATAGTGTCCGTGTATGGCTACTAGATAAAGAAACGACAAGAATGTTTTGTATTGGATATGCTGTTAGGCATACAGCCTCAATTAGTTCTGTTGCAATATCTCAAATAACAACAAAGTTCTTCACCACTGTTGCTCAAGACTCGTGTTTGAAACTATGGGAATTACCCAACAATCTTGAATCATATAGTAAGTTAGACAGTATATAATTTCTTAAATGAACTTATATATATAAAATAAAGCCTGATTTGTTATATGAATGTATTTACTTCTAAATAATATAGCTATTTTGTATTGTACTTTAATTCAGATATAATTGCATTAATGAATATTAGTTACAGTTTTAAAATTTGCATCAGAAATTTCAAAATGATGTAACACACGCACATACGTACACACATACATATATACCTACACATACCATATATATATATATATATATATTTTTTTTTGTATTACACGCACGCATGCACACATACGCACACGCAACGTGTATACATATACATATATAAATACATTATTTTGAATCATTCTTATGTGCATCCATCCGTGCGTGTGTATATGTTATGTACTTATGTGTTTAGATGATGTTTGATATTTACAGATCAAGTTTTATCATTAAATGTAAGTCACACAATATTAGCGCACCAAAAGGAGATGAACTGTGTAACTATCTCGCCGAATGATAAACTAATTGCTACAGCGTCGCAAGATAAGACTGCAAAGGTATATTATTACATAAATTAAACTTATCCTACACTATGAATAACTCTAAAATTATAAAAATCTATCCAAGAATTAATATAATGATTATCTGTAGTTATGGTCTACAGAGACTTTGCAATTGCTTGGCGTATTTCATGGTCATCGAAGAGGCGTGTGGTGTGTTCGATTCTCGCCGATTGATCAAGTGCTTTTAACAACATCCGCCGATTGTACTATGAAACTATGGTCTTTAACAGATCTCAATTGTTTGAAGGTTATTAGATGGAAAAATGAATTAGCTCTTTTGATATTCATAGATCTAATTGTAATCTAATTGTTCTCGTTCTTGTCGTAGACATTTGAAGGCCATGAATCTTCCGTTTTAAGGGGAGAGTTTCTGTCGCGCGGTATGCAGTTAATTACATCGGGCGGAGACGGTCTTCTAAAATTGTGGAATATCAAAACATCTGAATGCGTAACTACATTGAATCAACATGAAAGTCATGTTTGGACGCTCGCAGGTGAGTTGTTTATCACGTGTATAAAAATGCAATCGGAATAAACATGTATAATATTGTTTCTCATATAATATTTCTTGTAGTCACTAAGGATCAAAAAAATATTATCAGTGGTGGTAGCGATTCATTGCTGGTATTTTGGAGAGATGTAACTGAAGAGAGGAAAACGCGAGAAGCATTGGAAAAAGCGCAGCTCGCGCTTGAGGAGCAAAAATTGGCAAATTTACTTAAAGCCGAAGAACTTCAGGCTGCGTTACAATTGGCTCTAAAACTGGAGCGACCATTACAAGTTCTTAAGATTGTAGAAGGTATTATTATTTGTATTGGACAGTAACTAATGTATCATTGGTTACATTCAGTAGAATGTTAATTTTATAACTATTGAAGATTTTCTGTTGAGATTCAATTATTTTTCTAGATCTAAAAGTTCATTTCATCTTAGTATAAAAGTTCAAAACATTTTGCTGAACATGACCATTGTATCTAATGTGGTTATACAAGGTGATTCAAAATAACATACGTCCTTCAAGGGACATATCTTTAATCATATTCTGAGACGACATTTTCTTTGGCAAAAGTTTGTCCGGAGCTTAGTTTTTAAATTAAAGAGAAATAATGTAATGTAGGTTGGATATAGGAGATGGGGAGAGGGGAGGCACAACTCATCATTACACGCGAGTGTTACGTGAGGTGCATATCGCGATCAGACACAGAATAGAGAGAGTACATGTATATATACTTATGCATACTTCTGTATGCATGTATTCTCTCTATTCTATAACAGCGATAGACGCCTCACATAAACACTCGCGTGTAACGATGAGTTGTGCCGCTCCTGCTTACTTCCTGCAATCAATCTGTAGTACTATTTCTCTTTATAACATAAAAACTAAGTCCCGGACAACTTTTGCCAAAGAAAAAGTCTCAGAATACAATTAGGAATATGTCTTTTGATGGTTATTTTGAATCACCTTATATATTAATATGTGTGGCGCGTGACATATATATGCACATTTTTATAAGATTATAAAATTTTTTATAACAGCTATATTGAAGAAGCAAAACAAATTTGTAGAAATAATAAAAGAATTGAAACCAATCCGCAAAGAAGCTCTTCTCAGATGTGCAGTTACTTGGAATACAAATAGTCGAAACTCACATGCTGCTCAGGTACGATAATTAATAATTTACTATTTAAAGATAGTTTCAATTATATAATAAAATTTTATGCTTTGAATTATTTTTCTATGAATTATTTTAATTTTTAATAATTTCTACTAAGGAAAATATCTGTATCTTTGAATACTCCTTTTTGTAATTTTAATTTTTTATTTTTAGATGGTTATAAATACCTTGATAACAGAACTTGAAACACAAGAACTGCAGATGTCAAATTTATCTTCCACTTTAGAAACTACGATTCCTTATACTGATAGGCACTTTAAAAGATTAACAAAACTTTTGCAAGATCTTCATTTATTAACGTACACCTTTAATCGTATGAAACCTGATATATCAATTGATACTAAATAAGTTATGTATAATATAAATATGTTATGTATATTATATATACACATAATATAGAAGCTTGTTTATATGTAAATTACACAAATCTGTGTTTTTATATTTTTTATTTTTACTTCGTAAAAAGAATGTATTGATTTTATTAAATCATTTTATATTGTAAATTATTTTTAAATAGATTTTATTTTTGCAATAAATCGAACAATAATATAATAATGCCAGGCGAGAACGAGAGTATATCTGCATACGCAATCGTGCCGTGATAAAGCTTACAAGTTCACGAGATATAGAGATAAAAGAGAAATTTCACATTACACAGAAATATGAATCATGAATCGTTATATAGCATCTTTTCACGTGAATAAACATTTATATATAAATTTCTATAAATCCATGTTTAGCGATATCTGATATTAAAACCGTGTATCCGAATTGATTCAGCATGTTAAACGATGATATATAAATTATATGATTGTAGATGAATATGAAAATCTACATTGTGAATCTTAAAGATATAATGAATGTGTACATTGATGTCATGAGTTGCTACATGAGGGTTTAAGCATGTGTGTGTGTGTGTGTGTGTGTGTGTGTGTGTGTGTGTGTGTGTGTGTGTGTGTGTGTGTGTGTGTGTGTGTGTGTGTGTGTGTGTGTGTGTGTGTGTGTGTGTGTGTGTATGTATATGTCAACAAGCTGGAGGAGCACCATGAGAGAGTGGGAGCAAGCTTTGGTCTGAGAGTCTGGTTTCCAGTAAATTTGCTTTGCCCGAACACACTCACGGATCATAAGGAAAGATCAGTCGGAATCTATTAGTGTTGCAGTTAAGTGACAAAGATGCTTAAGAATGACTCCTAGAAAAAAAAAATTTCGTCCTGATGCTCGCTTATCTGTCGGGGATGTTTTTACTTGCAGACACTACTAAAGTGTAAGTCGCGCATTTAATTCAATTAATAACAGCAAAATGAAAAGAAGGCAAAGGTAAAAAAATATATTTTACTAAACTGAAAGAGAAGCTTGTAATTAGCAATGTTCACAGTATTTTTTTACAGATAAAATACAAAAAAAATCATGTAAATGCAAAAATATATCATATGTGCCTCGATATATTTATAAAAATAAATAGTTTCATATAATTTTGCATATAATTTTAGATTAATAAAATATAAAAGTATTATACAAAGAGCTATTCATTCTCATTATTACATTCAAATAATAATTTAAATAACAGAAACTTAATGAATTATTTGCACGAAACCGTCACATATCTTTTTTTTTGTCGCGAGAGATAGTAATCGATTTGTTACATACAGAGCAGTTCTTTCAATAACATACATTGGTGGGTTTTACGAAATACCTCATAAATTTCGCAAAACGGCGTGCACCGCATTGTCGTTTTCGTCATCATCCTTCTGCGTTAAGAAATACTATAAAATGAAGAAAAAATATCTTAACACCGCATATTCAATCTTTATCTTTGTTTCCTTTTTTCAAATAATATATTTTTTTCACGAGCCCGGCATAGTTTTGTGTCCGATTATACAGAAACACGGCGTAATAAAGTAAGATTCGCTTAATTTATCATTTTCAACCTTGCAAAATTTTATAGTTGCTTTCGAATTTATTAGTGCATAACATTTGACCTTCGACTCCTCGTAAATGTGATCGACACTAGCAGTGTCGTTAACGAATTGGAAGAATACCGTAAATTATACCGAAACGAAAAGTCGTTTTTGTATGGTGCAAAAATCGCACCTGCCTTGTCGTAACTCGAGGAGACGAGAGTGACAGCTTTGACAAAAGCCGTTTGATGAAATGCTCAGTCCAAACTATTGTTCGTATATTTTCATATACGTGAAAGAATTCGTCTTCTCTTTCGATAGTAAGCGAGTATCGAATCGGATTCGCACTTGTTCAAATACCAGCATTTAAATTTAATATTTGTTCTTTATCTCAATTAAAATGGCGAAATTTTAATTGGCAGTACAAGTAAAACCGATTGAGTAAAAATCCAAGGAAAATAACACATAAATTAGAAGAAGGGAAATGTAAAATGTATTTGTTATTTAAATTGAATTAAAGCTGTTGCAAATAAAACAATATAATATAATAAATAATATAATAAATTACAATTATATCATAAATTAAAATTATTTAGATTAAATTTATTTCAAGAGAAATATCAAAAAGGATGTCGCAGCTTAATTTATTGTACATCGATTTGGGCTACGGTCCATTTAGCGCTACAAAAACTTCAAAGCCAATCAAAACAAAGAATTTTATGAATTGATCAATCAAAAAATACTTTGAAGCATTTGTAGCACCAAGTGGACTGCATATTCTGCGATTACATATAACGCAAAATATTCAAAATAAAGTACGAATAATCAAATATTCAAAAAATGAATATTTGATTATTTCATATTTTATTTTGAAAAACAAACTGACAATACATAATCTCATTAAAAAAAAAAAA